GGAGCGTACCGGCCGATGGGAGGTAATCTGCGGCAGAAGGCGGTCTCGGAGATATCCAGGTCCGATGCCATGGAGCGCTTTGAAGATGATAACCAACACCTTGAAGCGCACCCGGAAGGCTACCGGCAACCAGTGCAGCTCGCGCAGCAGCGGTGTTACATGGGAGCGACGAGTCCCTCCCAACACCGCCCGCGCGGCCCGTTGCGGCATCCCGTTGCGGCGGCCCGTTGCGGCATCCCAGGGTCCCGTGATCCCCTTTTGCGACCATCTGACAGTCAAAGTCAACATTGAAGCCAGATTCGCTTAACCACCCTGTTACTAACTTCACTGCAGTGATTCACTTAACAAATGTGGCAAAAAAGAGTTGTAAAATGGGGCAAAACTCACTTAACAAATTTCTCACTGAGCAACATAAAACTTTGGGCTCAATTGTGGTACGTCGAGGATTACCTGTATACAGAAATGTGTTTTTAAAAGGCAATCGGAGCACATCCCCACAATGTTTCTCAAACACTGAGCAAAATCAATATTATTATCAAATCATTGTATTAAATTGTCATCCCGAAATAACCCCCGCAAGATCTCATGTGCTAAATTGAGATTAAAGCGTACAAACAGTCGCTCGTTTATTCACAAACTATGTCAAGTGACTGGAAAAGGAAATGGCCGATTCTTTTAAAATGTTACGAAATCCGTGCTAAAGGGCCTGATTTTATTGCTTGCAGAAAAGAAAGCAGCCTTTTCAAGAATAGCTCTGAAATGTTGCCCAAATTTAGTCTCATTTCTCAGTACCAGTAGTAGTTGACTGTTCGTTTAGTGACTGTTTGAAGTTGCAACGGCACTGAAAAAAGTGACTTATGACCGTTTTCCACGGTCATAAGTCATAAGATGCATTGCTGCATCCCCCACGGTCACGTGATCAAAATTCAGACACTTGGCAAACGACTCATTTATGATGGTTGCATCGTCCCGGGGGTCATGTGATTCCCTTTTGGGATCTTCTGACAAGCAAGGTCAGTGGGGAAGCCAGATTCACTTCACAACCGGGTTACTAACTTAACAACTGCAGTGATTCGCTTAACAACTATGGCCAGAACACCGTAAAATGGGCCACGACCCACTTAACAACTGTCTCACTTAGCCAGAGAAATTTTGGGCTCAAATGGTGATCATGTCGAGACTACAGGTGGTCCTCGATTTAACGACCACAGTTGAGCCCAAAATTTCTGTTGCTAAGTGAGACATTTGTTAGGTGAGCTTTGCCCCATTTTACGACCTTCCTTGCCTCAGTTGTTAAGTGAACCACTGCAGTTGTTCACTTAGTAACACAGTTTTTCAGTGAATCTGGCTTCCCCCATTGACTTTGCTTGTCAGAAGGTCGCAAAAGGGGATCACGTGATCCCCCGGGACGCTGCGACTGTCGTAAATAGGTGTCCGTTTTCAAGCGTCTGAATTTTGATCACGTGACCCTGGGGATACTGCAAAGGTTGTAAGTGTGAAAAACGGTCATAAGTCACTTTTTCCAGGGCCGTTGTAACTTTGAATGGTCCCTAAATGAACACATCGAGGTTGTACCGTATTTTTATTTATTTATTTTATTTTATTTTATTTATTAAATTTATATACCGCCCTATCTCCCTTACGGGACTCAGGGCGGTGAACAGGCGATACTAAAAATTTTGAGGCACTTGGACTCAGTTGGAGTCCTCTCCTGCCAGGAAGGGGGTGTGAAATGGGGAGATACCCCCTTGTCAGAAAGTGAGGGAAGATGCTCCTCACTGCCCCTCCCTCTCCATTTCTTCCTGAAGTTCTCTCCCTCCTCTTTCTGGGCAGAGGGGCCCAATTCTGAGCAAAGTCCCAAGCTGCAGCTGTTCGTGATGTGGTGGAGTCCTTGGTGTGATCTAAGCTTCCATCTCCTATATATCAAGTGGCAGCAACGCCCCCCCCCCCCTCAACACTGATGACATCCCCTGGCTGGGTAATGAAACATCTGCCAGCAAACAGCCAGAACCCCGAGCTACAATCTCTTCTGTTGGATTCTTGCTTTTACAGACAGTCCTCCGGTTATGACCGTAATGGAGCTGGCCCACCATGGTTGTAAATCAGATCACCCATATGACCCACCAAGATTTTACAACCTTCATTAAACCAAGTTAATGTAGGCAGGCGGGTGTGGGACACTGCAAACAGCTGTAAAGTGCGGTCATGGACATGTAACCACCGGGCAGCTAGTTTGGTCTAGTGGTTAAAGCACAGGGTAGAAAGTTGGAGATCTTGAGTTCAAGGCCTGCCTTAGCCATGAAAGACAACTGGGCCACTCACTCTTCTCTTGTGTATGGTCACTTCCTTGAGCTATTTGTAAAAATAATAAAGATGGGATATTTATGTATATAAATATAAATAAATAACTTCAAATCCAGGTTGTAACTACCCCTAAGGTCAGCTGGTCATAAATTGAGGACTATATTCCTACATGTTGTGGGTGCTCCATCACTGGAGGTTTTTAAGAAGAAATTGGACAGCTATTTGCCCACAATGATGTAGAGTCTGCTATTTGTGCATTGGGTTGGATTTGCCCACAATGGTGTAGGGTCTCCTATTTGTGCATTGGGTTGGATTTGCCCACAGTGGTGTAGGGTCTCCTATTTGTGCATTGGGTTGGACTAAAACAGTGGTCCACAGGTTTTCCAGCTGTGGGAAGCAGGGGAAGAGAGGAAATCGTTTCTGTTTGAGTCCATAGTGTAGACCAGGACTCCCTGGGCCACGGCCCATTCCGAACTGGGCTGTGCAAATGGCAGGCAGGGCCACGCAGCTTCGTTGGTGCAAGCGGTGGGCATGGGAAGCCCCCCCCCCCAGGTCACGCAAATGGAGCTTCATGCGCGAGTGCCCACCGCGCAGGCAAATGGAGCTGCGCACGCTCACCTGCCACTTGCACAGCCCGGTTCCCAGTGGCCACGGCCCGGGCGCTGTGGACCCCTGGACTAGAAGACCTCCAAGGTCCCTTCCAACTCTGTTATTCTGTTTTCTCCAGCGACGATGGTTTAGCATCAAGCGCAGGGTTTTACCAATCTAGATCATGCTCCAGATCAGCCCTTGGCTGCCCAAGATAGGGAGCCATGCTTGTTGGTCTGCCGCCCCCTCCCCCCGGACCAGGATAGCTGGCTTTTCACCTTTCTGCCTGTCCTGAAGCTCTCCCTTTGAAAGCTGGGGATAGGAAAAGGGGGCGAGAACATCCAGGCGCGCCTTTCCTCTCCTCCTCCCCCCTGCTTTTCTTATGCTGCAGCCCTCTTGTTCATTCCCCCCCAGCCCCTTCAGCATGGACGAATTTAAGCGGAAGTATTCCAACGAAGATACCCTGAAAGTGGCCCTTCCCCACTTCTGGGAGCACTTCGACAAAGGCGGTTGGTCCATCTGGTACGCAGAGTACCGCTTTCCGGAGGAGCTGGCCCAGACTTTCATGA